TGGCTGATGGGCGTCCCCGCAGGCGGTGATGGCGGCGGGGCCGCGCGTGGACTACCTGGCCGGGTTCTGCTGCCCCGTGGGCGGGCTGGCAGCCGGGCGGCCCCGCGTGCTCTGCCACGAGGGCCACATCTACCTGTCCAACGGCAGTGCCTTCGTCTACGTCTACGACCAGGAGGGCCGGCTGCTGCAGGTGAGCCCCCACGCTCGCCCTTCTGCCACGGAGAAGGGGAAACCGTGGCTGAGCCCTGAGGTCAGGCCCGGGCGTCCAGCTCACGTGGCCCCAGGCCAGACCAGACCGCTTCGGTCGGTGGTCTTGGGTTGGGGCCCTGCTACCAGGCGTGCCAAGGTTTCTGGGCACAGCTGCCTCCGGAGCCCTTATTTGAGCAGCACAACCTGGTTTCCGGCTGCATGGAGACCCGGCTCCAGGCCCCGGCCCCTGTCAGGCACCACGCTCTTGCCACGAAGCCGCTCGCTTGGCATTGAGCATCACGCCGGGAAGCCCGGCCCTGTTTCTGCCACCGCCGGCCGACATCCTGCTGGCAAGTTGGCTTCTGCCATGGCCACTACCAGGCCTGGCACCACGGCCGGCCACAAAGAAAGGCCGCGCTGTGCCGAGCTGTGGGATTGCCACGGTGTCTTGTACCTCGCGAAGGTGCCCGGCGTCGTCTGTGCCTGGCCCGTGTCCCCACCTGCGTGGGCCCGGCTGGGCTCCCTTCCTCTCCTGGCTGCCTTGGACTTGGTGCCCGCTCAGCACGGCCGGTTCCCAGGTCGGGGGAGTCCCCGTGCCCGACGGACACTCCACAGAGGTGCAGATAACCGGAGGGCATCACCCCGGCAGCGCGGGGACCGGCTGTGGGCTCTGCAGAGAAGCAGATCGGACCTGGATCAGAGCGACTGGGGGGCAGTGCTGGGGAAATACTAGGACGTGGCTATAAATATCCTTTGTGTCGCAGAATGTAGGCGCCTCTCTGACCTTTTCCCTCCTCTTGTGGGGCCAACAGTTGTCATTAAATCGGAGAAAGGCTTTTCCTTTGAAAGAGGCTGTCAGTCCTCGCGTTCGTCACGCTGCGGATGTCCCCATTGTCTTCGCCGTGACTAACGGCTGCCTTTGCGCTGGGCTTTCTGCACTGCCTTTTTAATTTATTCTTATCGTTTCGAAGGCAGTCATGGCAGCGAGAGAAGGATTAGCCTCCTACACTCGGTTCTTTCTCAGGAGAGGAGCCCCTCTGGAGGCTTTTGCTGCCTTTCCTTCTTCCCATCATTGCGCAGCGGCAGGGAGCTGGTTGCTCCCTCTTCTTTTCCAGTCCAGCATTAACAACATTGTGTTTCTGCAGCACCCACCTCCCCAAGCACCATGCGGGCTGTCCTCTTGGACGTGCAGCCACGCCTGGGGTGGGACGCCTCCCAGCTCGCCCACCCAGAGCCCCGACTGCAAAACCATTTGTAGGGGAAGCGAGGAAACCCCCTGAAAAAGAGGTGGCGTTGAAGTTAGGGCGTGGACAGCAACATTGGCCAGGCAGAGCGTTGCTCCCGGGAGTCGACGTTTTGAGTGTTTCCAGGAAGCAGATTCTTTAATGTGCCGCTGGCATCTGACAGTACTTTCCCCTGTTCCCTTTATTAAAACGGAGGAAGAGAAGTTTTGTCATATGAAAACTGCAAATATTTGCGCTAAGTGATTAATTCTAGCATATGATGAAACACCTGTGTCTGCACAGAGCGTCCCTGTCAGACCGCGCGGGCAGAGCCCCACCAGCCCTGAGCCTGCGCTCCCAGCCATGCGGGGCAGGCCAGTAGTTGGTTATCGCTGCCCTGGCACTTGCCAGCACCCGCAGGGCTGGAGACAGATGGGCCAGGTCCTGTGCTAGCGGGTGGGTGTCCTGGCACTCCTGTCTTCCTCCCCCATGACTGCTGGGATAAGGAAGGGCTGAGTCTTTTCTGCCCTGCCATTGTGGGGGCAGCAGAGAGGCCGCCGATCCCCTGGCCATGCTGCCAAGCCACATCCTTCCCTCATCATGGGCCCTACTGACGCTCTCTCCTGCTGTTCTGCCCAGGCGGTGTATCGCTTCCCTGACCAAGTGTGGCATGTGGAGCTCCTCCCGCTCCACCGGCAGCTCTACGTCCTGTGTGCCAAGACCGGCATCTACTGCCTGTCCCTGGACCAGCAGAGCAGGTGAGGCCTGGCAGGAATCCAGCCAGGGCAGCCAGCTTTGCCTCTGTTGAGTAAAGCCCTGGCTGGCACGTGTCTTCTGGGGGGAAAGCCATCCTGAAATGCACCCGAGGCTGGTTCTAGCAACCCGTGCCGTGCCACTGTCTGTGGGGATGTGGGATGTCTGCCCAACCCCTGCAAGATTTGACTTGGACTTTCTCTCTCTGCTTTTTCTGGGTGTTGAATCCTTTAGACCTGCAGGGCTGTGCCAGTTGACTGGTAGCACCCACGCAAGCTCACCTGATGCGTGGCATCTGTCCCGCAGGCCTCTCGGGGCATGCATATGTCGCTGTTGCACTGTCACCAGCACCTGGGGTATCGGGCACAGGCTGATAAGGGCGTACAATCTCCATCGTGCTCCCCTGAGAAAGTGGTGGAAGGGTTAAGGTGTTTAAAACCATCAATTGCCTTTGCTCTCCAGCTCGGGTGCCAATGGCCTCTTGAGAGCTATATCTAAGAGCCCGAGTCTTCAGCGGGCCAGAGAAGGGGGGATGGAGCTGGCACTGGCTTCCTGGAGTGCTCTTCCTTGGTTTTCCTGAGCACTTGTCCTCCTTTGCTTGCAGGGTAACAGAGGCACCAGCTGGTGATGGTGACGGTGACAGCAAAGATGTCGACGGCCCTGCCAACGTGTTGCCCGTCAACGCGGACGCCTGCATCTTCCCCGACGCCGACCTGTGCGCCTTCACATTGCTCAGCAACTTCATCATCACGCTGGCCCAGGCCCAGGGCAAGTGGTGGATGGAGCTACACGAGCTCCCGGCCCCCAGCCAGGAGCCCCCAGCATGTCGGCACATCAGCAAGGTGGGCTTCTCCACTGGCACCCCGGCTGGGGGCGACGGGGATGCACCGGCGTCCCGCTTCCTCCCCGTGCTGTGCTGTGCCTTGGCCCCTGGCTCTGGGGATGGGCTGTGGTGCTCTGGGGGCTTCATCCTGTCTGAGCCACTCTTCAGCCTGCTCTTCGGGGTGGATGCTGCCATGCTGGACTCCCCCATGATCCTCGGCGGCTTCCCAGATGGGCAGCTCTGCTCCGTGCCCCTGAAGGCCCTCAGCGCAGCAGCAGATGCCAACACCAATGCCGCAGCCGGTCCGGACCCACCTGTGAAGGTGCTGCACCACCTGGAGGAGCCTGTGGTCTTCATCGGCGCCCTGCGCACAGAGCGGCACGAGGCCGATGAAGCCGATGACCCGCCGCTGCCACCGGGGGACGCAGACTGTGTGGTGGCTGTGGGGCACTACGGCAAGCTGGTGGCCATCAAGGCAGGGCGCCGGGAGGAGGCGCTGGCCCCCGAGCTGCGGGAGTACTACCTACGTGGGCCGGTCCTGTGCGCTGCCTGCAGCAGTGGCAGCCGCATGTACTACAGCACCCACTCGGACATCTCAGCTGTGGACCTGGAGTGCGGCAGCAACGCCTCCGACTCTGAGGACGGGGACGACACAGCGGCGGGTGTCCTGCCGCCAGTCCTGGCTCCGGCCAGTTTAAGTATTTGTAGCGTTGTGGCGCTTTCCTTGTCTTCGCGGGCAGCAGAAGGTACTGCCGGCCGCGCGGAGCACGCTGCTCATGGGGGCTGACGGGGGCAGGGTGGCCTTGGCCTCGCTGCCCATTCCTGGTCCTAGCTCTCCGCCGTCCCGC